ATGCTGTTGTGATATGCTAGTTTGTATGTATGCTGGTATGTATGCTGGGGGGTCGGATAGTATATTGGCTGGGGGCTGAGGCTTCCCCTTTAGGGGGAGACTGTGGTAATTAATCCCATAATCTTCCTGATAAATGGTTATGAAAATTATGTTGGTTATCCCCATAAATTTGATAAAATAATTCTATTAAATTTATGTTGCAATTATTTTCTAGGACTATTTCAAGCAAATAAGTTTTCTAGAAAGAACACCTATGAAATAGATAAGGTAAGATGATGTATATTTGTATATGCTTTGATGAACATTATTCAATACAATTATGATGATTATATTATATAATTTTTACGGATGAGACGGATGAGATGGGTTGATATGATGAGCTTGTTATGGTTTATGTTATTGGTTTTCTTAATAGTAGGTTGTTAGGATTTTGTTATTGTTGTTTTGTTGTTATGTTTTCGTTTGTATTTTGTTTGTAATTAGTAGGTTGTTTTGATTTTGCTATTGTTGTTCTGATTTATGGTATAGACTATTTTATAATCTATTGTATTGTCTATGTTGTTTTGTTTGTTTCTTTTGTTGTTTGCTGTTATGATTTTGTTGTTGATTATGTTATAATCTAGGGAAAAGGGATAGGAAAGACACTTAAAGAGTTATTACCTATCTATAGTAGGTAATGGAGGATACTAAAGTCAAGTGTGCTAAATGTTTTAAGGAAATGGAAGAGGGTAAATACAAAACTTGTGATAAATGTAGGGAATATATGAGGGCTAATCATCAAAAGAACAAAGAAAAATATAATGAAAGGAGTAGAGACTATTATTACAATCATATAGAGGAGGCAAAGGAATATGCTAGAAATTATGGTAGGACACACAGGGAAGAAATAAATGAAAGAAGAAGAAATCATAGAGCAGAAAACATTGAACAAGTGAATGCTAAAATAAAATGGATGACCTGCCCTGTATGTGATGATTATGAAATTCAATGTAAGAATTACAAGAGACACGCACAAACAACAAAGCATCTGGAGAACTTGAAGAAACAGCAAACATAAATTTCATTGTATAATTTCAAAACTATAAAAGTGAAATTGTTTTTTTGTTATGATTTATGGTATAGTCTTTTTTATAATCTATTGTATTGTTTAGGTTGTTTCAGTTTTTTTTGTTTTGTTGTTTTGTTGTTATGATTTATGTTATAGTTTTCTACAAGGTGTTGCTCCCCTGTCTTTGGTATCAGCCCCATAGAATTTGCTTGTATAATAATGTGGGCGGTTAGATGAGAAAGACGGGGGAGCACAGTGCTAACTAATATATAATATATGTAGTATATAAATCTATTATATAATATATAATATATAATATACTATATATATATATATTTTAATATATATAATATAATATATATATATGATATATATAATATAAAATATATGATATAAGATATAGTACATATATATAATAAAATATATGTAATATATATATATATATACCATATATAATATATACAATATATATATAATATGTAAATATAGTATGTATAATATATATTATAGATAATATATATTTTATATATATATATATAAAATAATATAATATAATATAATATATATATTATATATATATATATAGATATTATGTATTTTATATAATATATAATATCTATATATATATATTATACATACTTTATATAATATACAATATATGTAGTATATATATTATAATATATATATTATATATTGTTTTTTATTTATTATATATTATATATTATATATTATATATTTTTTAATAAGAATAACATTCATAATATATATATATATATAATAATAATGATATATATATATATATATGTGTAGTATATATATAAATTATATAATATATATACAATATACATTATATAATGTATTTATATTATAATATATATATAATAATAATATATTTAATAATATGTATATATATATATATTATTATATATATTTAATATAAATACATTATATAATGTATATATTATATATATTATTTGTGTATAATATTTATATATATTATATATTTTATTTATGATATATAATACAATTTAGTATAATATAGTATAATATAATATGTAATAAAATAAAAAGACTGTATATTTAGATATACACATATGATAACGTACATGGATCCGACTGGCTCTCCGTTGCACGGCGAGGAGTCCTGTATTCTGGTCGCTCCAGAAAGGCCAACAAATTTGCTGGGTATATAGATATAATATGTGTATATATCTACTAATAGCTATTGAAAATGACCATTGAAATAGTGGATTTTCCCATTGAAAATGGTGATTTTCCATAGTTTTTTGTATGTTTACCAGAGGGTAATACTATGTATTTGTATAATATATATAATAATGGATATATCTGTATATATCTCTATATATCTGTAGAATGCTATGTATATATCTACTAATACTATGTATCTGTATATATCTAATACATATGTATGTATGCGATGTGATGTAATGTATGTCACAAGTATGCAGGTCTTGGAACATCATTATCCGGTTTGTACTGGGAACATTTGTCTATTTGGGATGATCACTATCAGGATCCCCAAATGGATGATTCTGATAGTGGTCGCTGGGATCGTTTATTATTGGTACCACATTTTACAGACTGTATATGACTCTATTGCATGCTAATTGCGGCTAGCCATAAACCTCCTATTTCAGTTGCTATTGACGTAAACAGTGATATTTCAAAATGGAATACATGTCATGAATGGAGTCGCTGTGGCACAGGCACAACATGTAGAATATTGATGAGCTAACAAGGATATTTCAATCTCACATTCTGATGACAATTCCAACAAGCCATGTGTATCTCGTCTATTTCTATTTATTCTGTGATGTTATATTTACCATCTGGTTATTTAACATAGCCATGGAAAATCCCTGAACTAAATGGAGGTTTCTAGCTGGGAAAATCATCTATTTCTATGGGCCATCTATACCATGGCTATGTTAAATAACAAGAGGGTATAATTAAATTAAGTTGTTTTCTCATGGAAGTTCCCCATTTCAGGACATAAAATAGATATTTCAGGTCAATCAGATCCAATAAATTGGGATATGTACCCGGCCTGCTAAACATACAAAAAACGATGGAAAATCACCATTTATAATGGGTAAATCCACTATAAATGGCCATTTTCAATAGCTATGTTAGTCATTACCAGAGGGTAACTCATGATTTCCCTTCTTAGACTTGACTGCCGGAGAGGCTTGGCAGTCCAACTGTTCTCAGCGGACTTGAAGAGAAGATCCTCGGCACGATGGTGAATGATGGGTTAATACTGATTCAATATGATTTATTATTACATATTATTACTACCCTCTGGTAAATGAACATAGACCCTGAACATAGCCATTGTTTAGTTGAAACTAATTTTCCCCTATTTGCCAGGGTCTATGTTAATTTACCAGAGGCTAAACATAATTCCGGGTAAATTATTGCGGGCCAATTGATGGTTCGTACTCCCAAGCTGTAGGGGAAATCATCCCGAGACGGCCTTAAATCTGGTTTGGAAAAGATTCTCTAGCTGGTTGGTGGTTTGGAGCATTTTTTTTGTTTCCATATATTGGGAATAATAATACGAACTGACGAGCATATTTTTCAGAGGGGTAGGTATACCACCAACCAGCTAGAATTTCCCAGGTGATGAAGTTTTGTTCATGTGGTTATGTAAACATGATCGATGGTGACTAATGATGCATGTGTGTATCACGTGATGAATAAATATAATGTGTCATATAACAGTAGTAATTACTAGTGATATAATCACAATATACAATTATAAGTAGTCATAATCTGTTGAATTATATCACTAGTAATAATGTGATGATTGTGGAATGGATGAAGCCTAGGATCTTTTTCTGTTGAACAGATCAGTTCCTCATCGACCAGATCAAAAAAAATGGACCTCCTCTTTTCTGAGATTTTCCATGTGAAAAAAATCAGAGGTTGCCATGTGAAAAAAATCCGGCAGAGTACACATGTAATATATGTAATATGCTTGCTCAAAACTCCTCAAAAATGCAAGAGATCGACAGCTTTGTGACTTGAAATTCGGATCCATCCCGCAGTTTTGCCAAGCCAAGGATGCAATAAGAGCTGCTTGAGGATGTACTTCCACGTCAGTCAACTCGAAGGTGAGTTGAGTATGAGTAGGCAGTAGGCCCAGTAGGGGTGAGTTGAGCTTGAGTTTTTTTAGATGGCGGAACTCAATGGTTCCTACCCCTTGGTCCGATATTACATAGCTATGGAAGCCCCCATCATGCCATCTAGTTGGATGGATTCCCTTGAGAAAAACATGGTGAAACCCTCCAGATCGAAAAGTCCTCGTTTACTGGCTCAAAAGTTGTGCGCTTGTGGGGAGGAGAGATGGAGGATGTTTGTTCGTGTGGATCCTACATGTCCTTCATTCTATATACGTAGTAGGTTCTGTTACACATATCATAATATATATATATATAATATATAATATATATATATTAATATTACGTATATAATATACGTATAGTAATTATACACCAGCACAATGTCATCAATATTCCATAGTCATGTACAGCAGGCCATTGAGAACGGATAGAACGGCGAACGAGAGGTGAGAACGGCCTGTGATTTTGCCGCATTTGAGCATCGCTGGCTCGCTGCATGTAGGGAAGAACAAGAACTAGAAGGAAATTGTTTTTTTTAATTCAAAAAGCAAACATTTTTTGAATTCGAAAAATGTTGAAACTAGAAGATATTTGAAAAAGGCGATGGATTAAAACAAACTGACAAAAATGGTTCGTCTTCTTGGAGCCTCACAAAGCCTGACGTCTGACTTAAGATGGCAGCCTTGGCTGTGAAATTGCAGTTGGAAAAAACATGAACACATACCCCCTGGTAATTTAACATAGCTGACATAGCTATTGAACATGGCCATTTATAGTTGATTTTCACAATTTTTCCCATGAAAACATGGTGATTTTCCATAGTTATGTTAGTTTACCAGAGGGTATTCGAAAAAAAACAAGCCGATATATACAAATGGACCTAGTCTACCCAGTCGCATACGTGAGCATCAGGGGGTACAGCCGCAACGTAGAGAAGTTCTCCAGTCGTTCCCACCCCTGGCCCCAGCCATGGCAGCCGTGTCACCACGTCCCTGGATTAGCACAGGCGCGACGCATGCAACGCGAGATCACTATCAGAGTTATAGTAATTATATAGAATTATCCCTAATTGTACCATATATAATTACTATAATAATTGGTAATTACTATTGTAATTATTATTGTATGTATATATATATATATTTTGGTAATTACAATATATAATAATTCTGGAACAATAATAATTACAATATATATATAGTAATATTGTACCATATTGTACCATAATTCTTGACTAAATCCCAGCTGTTTTTTTTATTGTCCGAAAAGAATGGGATTTAGTAATGGAGGATGCTGGATGAATTGCAACGACCTCACTGCGACGTCACTGGAATGATCGTTGGTAGGGGTAACAATCCCAAATGTCCTTATGTCATCTTATGTTAGGTTAGTGAAATGATGTGTATATATATCTATACATATATATATACATATATATATATACATATATATATATATGTTTAATCCATGTGGATGAGCATAACATCCCAGAAAACTAAACATTTTAACGTCATACACGTGAGAAGCACTTGGAGACAACGGCCTGCAACAAGACGCGCTTGTCGTCTCTGGGCCTTAAATCTTAAATGGTCATGAGTCTATCTCTGAAGTTGTTGGGTTGTTTGATTTTGTGGCAACCATCCTTCTCTCCGAACAGGCCCTGACATGAAATCCACTCAAACAAAACTCCTCGCGGTGGTATGGTTTTTATATACCTAGACCCTCCACATACCATCCAAAAATGGTAACAATGCCAGCAAATTATGGGGTAAAACCAGTATTTTGATGGCTACAAACGGAGGGTCGAGGTAGATATGTTAAAGTGGAATCTGCAGAGGGTTCCTTGTCATAGAGTTATCACTGTGCCCCAAGGAATTCAGTGGATGATCCATCAGTAAGTCTGGTATATCACAGCATATTTTCGCAGATCTAAACTATTAGTTTAAGATGATTCCAGGTGCACTTATCATATCGGATTATCGTTTTCGTTGGCTAGAAAAAGAAACATGGGAAACACCTAGAATCTACAGGGAACCACATTGTTTTCTATTTGGTTTTTGAACGTTGTTCACCGTCAAACAAGAAACATCGGCAGATAAGCTGCCAGGCGGCAGCTTGCTTCGGCCTTTCCGACCCGCCCAAAGCAAGGCGCTTGGCTTTTTTTTTCAGCTGAGGGTCTCGCAACTTGAAATATTCCATCCCCTAGCTCATATCAAAATATGCTCCACGGTGCTGGTATATGCCAACATTTTTGGTATAACAATCAGCCAAATGTAGGTAAATATACCATACGTGGATCATATGGGATATATATATATATGTGTTTAAAAACAAATCATACTATGAAAATCATGTGATGGTACTATCATTTTAATATGATCATGATATGAACATACTGTGTGATAATAGACAATTATATATATAAGTACATTCATATAGATGTAATGAGATGTTGAGTATGTTCACCAACATCCCAACCACCATACCATAGATTCCACCATGGTTTCCATGGGTGGTATGACAAATATGAATGGGGGAAAGGATTCCTTGATATTGATGTTAAACAGGGGTGTTCATTTACGTCTATGAATAAACCTCAATTACTTGGCTTTTGAAGTTTGACATTTTCAAATGAGTTGTTCAGTTGCACGGGTGGTGGTTGAGCCAACGTCAGCCCAGAATTCATGAAGCTATGGGATTTGGCTTCAAGAGCGTTGAAGCAAATCCATACAAATCACTCTCGACATTGGGGAGAAGTCGGAGTTGTCGGTGTTGATGAATATTGATGAGTCAGATGTGCTGTACAACACCAACAGGACCTCTGATTGGATGGGTATCATAGTATAAGCGGCTCATATCGTGAAAAAATTCCTCGTGGCCGAGTTTATCGAAGAAAAACTCGCCTTGGATGCCTTGGGCCATGGATGAATTCCTTCTCGATTTGGCGCAGGGACAAAGCCACAGAGCGACCTGGATATTGGAGAGAAGTTGTGGTCTTGCAGCAACCTGTCAGCAATGTCCAGGAGCGGTTTTTCCTCCCCTGTTCGGTTCTCCGGGAAACTTTCTGTGTCATTCAACCACATAAAATGGGCAGTACCTGCTGTGACTATTAGCTTATTGTTTGAACAGATTTGTTGGGAGTAAGCATCACATCTTATCACATATTGGTGAACAGATTGGCTTGTGGCTACGTTTACACCAAAGCATGTGTTTTTGAGTACTCAGCAGCTGGATCCATAACTGCCACAACTATAAGCTATAAAGCCTGAAAAGCAGGGTAACGCTTGGTTTTGATCCATGGCCGTGATGATCATGATCATTGCTGTATTCCCATGGTTGTTGTTCTCCATAATATACTTTCATTAATGTTCAGAATATAATACATACGTGATAATATATATATATATATATATTATACATTTACTCATTACTCATATTACGAACACATGTCTTGCCAATTGTTCGCCCGCCAGATATCTCGAAGAAAATCAGCATCGGCCCAGGTTGCTGGAAGCATCGCGTGCCGCCTTGCCGCTCGCGGCTCGCGCCGCGCCGTGGCCAGTGCCAGCACTCTGCGGATGGCCGTGGCCGTGGAGAGTGCTGAGGTGAGCGGAAAGCCCTTTTGATGGGAATCACTTGGGGGATGGTGATTTTCCATGGCTATGTTAGTCATAACCAGATGGTAATAGTGGTTAAGGATTTTTAAGTGCTTAATAACGATTTTGAAGTTGTTTTTTCCGAGCTAGAAACCTTGATTCAACTTAGGGGATTTTCTGCTATGTTAGTAACCAGAGGGGAATTTTTCAATATCAAGGGTACATCATCCAGCCATGATACACTCATGTTAGTAACCAGAGGGGAATGATATACCCATGATATAACCATGATAAACATTTTATGGGCATCTCATGGGTACATCATCCAAATGATACCCGGAAAAAAAAAAACAAAAACCCCATTCCCTATGGATCAAGACGTTGATTCAAGTCGCAACTGAGTCGTGCCACAACTCGGTATGGTGTTGTCGTTTTTGGGGCTATAATTGTTTTTTTAACTCAAATTTAGATGAATATTGGCAGAATATGTTATGGAATCTTAAGGAATCCGCAGTAGCTAGACTAGGTTTTGTCTGGTCTACCCAAATAGAGTTCAGTGATTAAGCCTAATTAGATCAGGAAACAACAGGGTCGATAATGATGAGTCAAATTATTTTGAAATGGGATGTCATGGCAGTGTCGTGTGGATTTGCACATACAAATATGTCTAAATATGTATATATATATATATAGATAGATAGATACATATGTAAATGTATAAACAATAGCAGAATTTTAACATCAAACATGATGGTTGGTTGATGGTGACATACGGGTGAACGGTACCCCTTTATTTAAGGGGACACCAGAGACCCGATCATGAGGATTGGACTGTGAATCCGGTCGAAGATCTTGGCCATTTTTCAATGATGGTGAACTACTTGCTGGTTGGTGGTGACTGGGATATTAATGGTTAATGATGGTTAATAATGGTTTTTCTGAGATATCTGGTTGGTGGTGACTGGAACCATGGAATTTTGAATGACTTTCCAGTTAAACAGTTGGGAATGTCGTAACCCCAACTGACTTTCACTCTCATATTTTTCAGGTGGGTAGGTGGCTCAACCACCAACCAGACTTGAGGTGCGGATTGCTATCAACTAAACCGGTTTGGGGGTGATCAAAGTCTGCAGGGGCACTCCGAAAAGGTGTCATGGTGAAGACTTGCCTTAAGGTTTCTTGTGGATTTTGCCTGGCTTGCGCCAGGATGTATCAACCAAATCAGAAGAGTCCAGCGCCTTGGCCTCTTGTGCCTCAATGTTTCTTTCAAAGTTGCATTATGTTTCCCCGCTGGAATACTGGAGAGGTAAAGATTGATGATTTTTTTGCTGAAATACTACCGACTGGTAAACTAACATAACTATGGAAAACCGGTAAATCAACTATTTCAATGGCCATTTTCCAGTTCGCAAACTGTAAGAAACACATCACCAGAGAGTAGTATTTCAATGGAGACCAGGAGAATCCTCTGAGAATCCAGTCCGCAACAATTCCGGCGGATTTTCCGGGAATCTGACGCCCCCATCCCAGGTGCCTCTTGGAAGTATGAGCTGATTCGGTCCGTGGGCGAGGCCATGCCAAAATTCATGCCAACGGTTGAGAAAATACAACGGTTGGTGGTGACTGGAACCATGGAATTTTGAATGACTTTCCAGAAACAGTTGGGAATGTCATCATCCCAAGTGACTATTTTTTATATTTTTCAGAGGGGTAGGTATACCACCAACTAGTATAACATTGTGAAGAGTTGCAGATTTTTTCACATTGCCAACGAGATAGAATTGCAGATGATACAGTTCCTGAGTTCAGTAAAATTGTAAACGTGAGCTACCGCGGGCCGGTTTTGATTGGTGTAAGATGAACAATCAAGAATACCATTGTTGGTGGGTTATTATAAGAAGGTATATTGTCTAGCTTATTGAGGATTACCTATCAACCAACTAGTAGCATACCGGTTGTAATAAACCCCAATAACCCCCATCTCAATATTGGGGAACCTATCGACCAACTCGTGTGTAATGAGATGGGAAAAGAGGTATTTTTAATGGTTCATGCTAGAGCAGGGTCTGTTGCGGTGCAATTAACTTATGTCGGTTATAAAGGGTTGTTACCATGCCATAGTTATATCCATTCTATTCCACCCCAGCTGCACCCCCAAGTACTTTCCCTATATAACTATATAACTTTATAACACAAACACTGGCTTTCAAGCAGCCCCAAAAAAGCAGCTCTGGCAAGGAGTGCCAAACAGAAGCGGAGCTGCGAAAATTGGTGGAGAAGAAACCAAACTTCGTACCTGGCCCCGAAACTTCTTTGGTATCCTTCAATGGGAATTTCAGGATCCTGAAATGGAGGTACTGTACCATATAAGGTCATATTTTGTGGTGATATTCACTGACATAGGCCTAAAAAATAGGCCTTAGAAATGGTAGGTACCTCCATTTTAGGATCCTGAAGATCTCCCATTGATATCCTGGGCGGATCTAAGTGATGCCTTTCCAATGACCAATGCACGGATGATGGAGGATAACCAGCTCTTTGTCTAGATACTGATCTGATCCAACGTGTCAGCTGATTATTTGATTCTTTTGAAATCATATATATATATATTAATAATATTATATATAAACATATTATTATTATTAATAACTATTTATGATATTACATATATATATATAATTTATAATTATTATATACATATATATATATAACAATAATAGTGCATATATATATATGTAATATAATAAATATAATACATAATATATATATATATAATATGTGGATGGGTCAAAACCTATAAATTTCATTAATTGTTCATATTTGTCCATTATTTGTGGGGGGATGAACATCTATTTATTCCATATGACCTATGCATGCTTTTTCCACGCACACAGACGTAGAGGTTCCCTAAACCTCACCTACACCTCCAGTGTCCACTCTAAAAGGAGGTTTATAGCTGGGAAATTCAGTTGTACCCTCTGGTAATTTAACATAGCTATTGAAAATGGCCATTTATAGTGGCCATTAAACATGGTGATTTTCCATAGTTATGTTAGTTTACCAGAGGGTAAATGGTAGATTTTCAATCGCCACGTTCGATTACGGGAGGGTAACCGGGTAAACTGTGAAGATGTACATCAGCACTGCTTGAGAGCAATTTTACATTTAGACATCTTTAGCCTTTAGCAATCGACAAAGAAAGGCATTCATTTGACGCAGCATCAGATGACTTGGATTCCTGAAACTGACGACTGTGAAATTTTTCGCATCGCATGGCGAAAAAGCGGAAGATGAATTGGGTTTTCCAAGCTTGCAATTTGTGAAGTATAGAATTGTTCTGGGTAATTTTTGTAACGACCTCACTGTGAGGTCACCAAAAAAAACTATCAAAAAAAAAACGTATAATTTTTTGGTGGTTTGAGGTTGGTGAATTCTTGTACAACAATCCAGATATATCCAGATATCATATCCCTAGACACTTCCAAAAATCGAAGCTACGACGTACTCTTGATGTTCTAACGACGGTAAAGCCCAAACTTTCGCGACTGGAAGATACGGATCCTGGATCCTTTCGGGATCTCATCCTTCAGAGCCCATGAATCAGGTCTGCTACGATGGTTTTGAGCCCTCAGGCCGAATGCACATCGCGCAGGGAGCGCCCTGGTCGCACCTTTTGGATGGCCCTGGTCGACATGTGGCACATCTCGAACATCCAAGAACCAGGTCCAATTGGAGGTGTTATTTTGTGAAGTGTTACCCTCTGGTAATTTAACGGTTTGCTTGGTTTGCTATTGGAAATGGCCATAGAAATAGTTGATTTACCCCATTAGAAACGGTGATTTTCCAGTTCGCTATGTTAATTTACCAGAGGGTAAGCCCATTATAAACCATTATGACATTTATTAACTATTATTAACCACAATTATTAACCATTACTCAGGATTTATGAGCTTTGAAGCCATGGGCTGACGAGCATATTTTTCAGAGGGGTAGGCTCAACCACCAACCAGCCATTTTTTTTTGACCATGACACATATGTTCCCAGTGAAATCACACTCTTCAGGGGTAGACTCTACTGTTTTTCTTGCGTCTCAAAGCCAGACAGCCGGACATCGCCGGACATCTGAGGTCTACAAGTCGGTTTGTGTCAACAAGTGCACAAAGGCCCCACATTTTGCGGCGGTGAAGCCATGGAACCCTGCAAAAATGGGAAGATGTGTGAAGATGTGTTTTTTTATTTTTTTTTCGGAAGGGATCTGTTTATTTTTTTCGGGTTCTGTGGTATCTTCATCAAACATGACCACTGGGAAATCTCCCATTTAGTTCCATGATTGTCCCATTAAAAAAACATTAAAAACCCTCATTTATATGGAATTTCCATGAATTTCCAGGCGTGTTTGATTACGGAAGAGATGCTTGACAGTAGGTAAGCGGGTATACTCTGGGGTCAATTGGCAGGACAACCCCATGAATTCCAGCATATTTATCCATATTTATATCTTGATTTACAGATATTTACAGGAACGTTCAGGTTATTTTCGTGTATTTTTGTTTGATTAATGTCAACCCTGGATTAATAAACCCCTAGATTGTTTAATTGGGAGGGTACCATTTAAGTATCAAATTATGACTATTGGAGGAGTACCCCCCTAATTAATAAACCAGGGTTTAGCAAAATCCGGGGTTGACATTATTTTTCATTGATCTTCTAGACCTTCCCAGTTCTGGTGCCAATTTTTTGCTTGCGATCAGAGCCAGCACTGATTGAACTGCCTCAAAATTGTCATCTGCATCATGGGAAGCAAAAAGAAAAGGATCCTAAGCTCATAGGATTTCTATATGGATGTCCTTTTTTGCTGGGGATCCAATCATTTTTCTATATTTTTCTCACACCCGTTTCGATTTTTTTTGAGGCCAATAATCATCCGTGTTTTTTTGTTTCGGATGTGATTGGAACATCTTCGAAGATATTGGAAGCCCAAATTGTCTTGGAACTGAACGACTGTCAGGCTGGTGGGCAATTCATCTTCTGGGTGGCCGACTGGTTTGCCTTGATGAACGACAAGATGGGTGGCGACTGGGAGAAAGGTCAGAAATTGATGAAAATTGGAATGTATGGATAATCATGGATAATATACATATCACATATATATATATGTACGATGGACCTTCATGTACTATTTGACCGTTGACTATTTGATTCCATTTCAAATTGAAAGCAATCTCCCAGACGCCAAAAAGAGGTTCAGAGAGACTTTTGGGAGAAGTTCATTATATTTTGAATATTTTGAATATTTTGAAATTCAAAAAATTCAAAATATTCAAAATATTTTTGTATTGGCTAAATTTTTTGAATATTTTGAATATTTTGAAATTCAAAAAATTCAAAATATTCAAAATATTTTTGTATTGGCTAATTTTTTTGCATATTTTGAATATTTTGAAATTCAAAAAAATCAAAATATTCAAAATATTTTTGTATTGGCTAATTTTTTGAATTTTGAATTTTTTGAAATTCAAAAAAATCCAAATATTCAAAATATTTAAAAAAATAATGAAATCACCAAAAAAGAGGTTCAGAGAGACTTTTGGGAGAAGTTCATTATATTTTGAATATTTTGAAAATTTTGAAATTCAACAAATTCAAAATATTCAAAATATTTTTGTATTGGCTAAAATTTTGAATATTTTTAAATTTTTGAAATTCAAAAAATTCAAAATATTGAAAATATTTTTGTATTGGCTAAATTTTTTGAATATTTTGAATATTTTGAAATTCAAAAAATTCATAATATTCAAAATATTTTTGTATTGGCTAATTTTTTTGAATATTTTTAAATTTTTGAAATTCAAAAAATTCAAAATATTCAAAATATTTTTGTATTGGCTAAAATTTTGAATATTTTGAATTTGCTCATAAAAATTCAAAAATATTCAAAAATATTCTTGATTGGGCTAAATTGTTTTGAACTTATTTGAATTTTTGAAATTCAAAAAAAGCAAAATATCCAAATATGTTTTATGGCTAATATTTTTTGAAAATATTTTGAATTTTTCTGAAATTCAAAAAAAATCATACAATTCAAATATCTAGATGGGGGAAACATATGAAAGCACAAAAGAGAGGTTTTCAGAGGTTGCCAAGCCAAGGATGCAATAAGAGCTGCTTGAGGATGTTCTTCCACGTCAGTCAACTCGAAGGTGAGTTGAGTAGGCAGTAGGCCCAGTAGGGGTGAGTTGAGCTTGAGTTTTTTTAGATGGCGGAACTCAATGGTTCCTACCCCTTGGTCCGATATTACATAGCTATGGAAGCCCCCATCATGCCATCTAGTTGGATGGATTCCCTTGAGAAAAACATGGTGAAACCCTCCAGATCGAAAATTCCTCGTTTACTGGATACCCAGCTTCCAGTCAATGCAGAAGAAACATAGATGCCAAAGCTCAAAAGTTGTGCGCTTGTGGGGAGGAGAGATGGAGGATGTTTGTTCGTGTAGATCCTACATGTCCTTCATTCCAAAAACGTAGTAGGTCCTGTTACACATATCATAATATATAATATATATATATAATTATATATATATATATTAATATTACGTATATAATATACGTATAGTAATTATACACCAGCACAATGTCATGAATGTACACCATATGATAGTCATGTACAGCAGGCCATTGAGAACAGATAGAATCGGATAGAACGAGAGGTGTTCGAACGGCCCGTGATTTTGCCGCATTTGAGCATCGCTGGCTCGCTGCATGTAGGGAAAAACAAGAACTAGAAGGAAAAATTGTTTTTTTGAATTCAAAAAATAATGCGAAAAATGTTGAAACTAGAAGATATTTGAAAAAGGCGATGGATTAAAACAAACTGACAAAAATATGGTTCGTCTTGGAGCCTCACAAAGCCTGACGTCTGACTTACGATGGCAGCCTTGGCTGTGAAATTGCAGTTGGAAAAAACATGAACACATACCCCCTGGTAATTTAACATAGCTGACAGAGCTATTGAACATGGCCATTTATAGTTGATGTTCACAATTTTTCCCATGAAAACATGGTGGTTTTCCATAGTTATGTTAGTTTACCAGAGGGTATTTGAAAAAAAACAAGCCGATATATACAAATGGACCTAGTCTACCCAGTCGCATACGTGAGCATCAGGGGGTACAGCTGCAACGTAGAGAAGTTCTCCAGTCGTTCCCACCCCTGGCCCCAGCCATGGCAGCCGTGTCACCACGTCCCTGGATTAGCACAGGCGCGACGCATGCAACGCGAGATCACTATCAGAGTTATAGTAATTATATAGAATTATCCCTAATTGTACCATATATAATTACTATAATAATTGGTAATTACTATTGTAATTATTATTGTATGTATGTATGTATATATATATATATATTGGTAATTACAATATATAATTCTGGAACAATAATAATTACAATATATATATATATAGTAATATTGTACCATATTGTACCATAATTCTTGACTAAATCCCAGCTGTTTTTTTTTGGTCCGAAAAGAATGGGATTTAGTAATGGAGGATGCTGGATGAATTATAACGACCTCACTGCGACGTCACTGGAATGATCGTTGGTAGGGGTAACATTACAGAGAAAGAAAGAACTTCCCACTGGCTGAATGGCTATTATGTTGTGCAAGAGATTGCAGAAAAATTGAACCAGCCATATTACAAATTAACTGATTACCCAAGATTGTTGATGAGGCAGGAACTTTTAAAGATTTAGTGTTTTTAGAAAGCCATGATGCAACCATGAGATGGTTGATTTGATGTGCTCTTTGGTTTCGTGGTTTTGTTTTGCCCTTCATTTGTTTCTCCCCACGAATTTGTGTTTGACTGGGTCATTGGCTGGGATTGCTCCATGTTCCTTTGCCCTTCCTCGCCTTGGCTTTGTCATCAATCTCTTCTGCATCCTGTTGTCGGGGCGCTCAGCTGTTGTGAACATGTCAGTTGGAGGTTTGAAGCCACATGTTCTTGGAGAGCTTGACCTCGGAATTTGTTTCAATTTGAGCACCTTTAACATTCTCAATTGGAAAGCTACAGAAATTAGCTCTTTCAGTTTGAGCTTGGAATTTTGTGTCATTTTTCAGCATCTTTTGCTCAAACCACTCGGGCACGCTTTTTAGCTTAGGGGTGTCGGCATGTTCATGGCGCACATCCGTTTTGTCGCTTGCCTCATGATGATCATGATGAGGCAAGCGACCAACCGGATTCATCATCCTTGCATTGAGCGCTGGAGCTGCAGACACCAACAGCACGGGCATCGCGGGTTACTCGCAAAACACGAGCTGGAAACATGTCGGGTATCATGAAAAAAATCTTCATCACGGTCATCATCATGATGGGCATGGTCCTGTGCCCTGGAGAAAAGAGACGGCACAAGATTATGACGGACCCGGCGAATTCACCCGTTGAGACAGGCATCACTTTCATCACGCCATTTGCTCGCCAATTTTGGCAACGAAGAAAGTGCGTGAGAACGCTTGCTTCGCCACCAGGGCGACTTGCAAAACAGGGCTCTTGGCTGATGCTTTTATGATTGACAAGGTCTGTAGGTAGCAAGGTTTCAGGGTGTCAAGTAGGAATAGGACATTGCTTCAATAGAGCATTGATGCCAGTGAGCCTTCAAAAGCTTGACATTCAGTGCATGCATGCCTGATACAAAGACAAACCCTTCCAAAAACTTGAGAAGACTGGCACAAACAAGTATGGACACACACACACAATCCTTTTCACTCCATTTCGCCCCAAAAGTTTGGATTGCTGTGCCATTTACATCGCACTGAGGTTAAGAAGACATGGTTATCAACAAGTTAATTAAGGGCGGTTTGGGCAAGGCAATTGCGGTAATGAAAGATGTGATGCTGTTGTGATATGCTAGTTTGTATGTATGCTGGTATGTATGCTGGGGGGTCGGATAGTATATTGGCTGGGGGCTGAGGCTTCCCCTTTAGGGGGAGACTGTGGTAATTAATCCCATAATCTTCCTGATAAATGGTTATGAAAATTATGTTGGTTATCCCCATAAATTTGATAAAATAATTCTATTAAATTTATGTTGCAATTATTTTCTAGGACTATTTCAAGCAAATAAGTTTTCTAGAAAGAACACCTATGAAATAGATAAGGTAAGATGATGTATATTTGTATATGCTTTGATGAACATTATTCAATACAATTATGATGATTATATTATATAATTTTTACGGATGAGACGGATGAGATGGGTTGATATGATGAGCTTGTTATGGTTTATGTTATTGGTTTTATTAATAGTAGGTTGTTAGGATTTTGTTATTGTTGTTTTGTTGTTATGTTTTTGTTTGTATTTTGTTTGTAATTAGTAGGTTGTTTTGATTTTGTTATTGTTGTTATGATTTATGGTATAGACTATTTTATAATCTATTGTATTGTCTATGTTGTTTTGTTTGTTTCTTTTGTTGTTTGCTGTTATGATTTTGTTGTTGATTATGTTATAATCTAGGGAAAAGGGATAGGAAAGACACTTAAAGAGTTATTACCTATCTATAGTAGGTAATGGAGGATACTAAAGTCAAGTGTGCTAAATGTTTTAAGGAAATGGAAGAGGGTAAATACAAAACTTGTGATAAATGTAGGGAATATATGAGGGCTAATCATCAAAAGAACAAAGAAAAATATAATGAAAGGAGTAGAGACTATTATTACAATCATATAGAGGAGGCAAAGGAATATGCTAGAAATTATGGTAGGACACACAGGGAAGAAATAAATGAAAGAAGAAGAAATCATAGAGCAGAAAACATTGAACAAGTGAATGCTAAAATAAAATGGATGACCTGCCCTGTATGTGATGATTATGAAATTCAATGTAAGAATTACAAGAGACACGCACAAACAACAAAGCATCTGGAGAACTTGAAGAAACAGCAAACATAAATTTCATTTTATAATTTCAAAACTATAAAAGTGAAATTGTTTTTTGTTATGATTTATGGTATAGTCTTTTTTATAATCTATTGTGTTGTTTAGGTTGTTTCAGTTTTTTTTGTTTTGTTGTTTTGTTGTTATGATTTATGTTATAGTTTTCTACAAGGTGTTGCTCCCCTGTCTTTGGTATCAGCCCCATAGAATTTGCTTGTATAATAATGTGGGCGGTTAGATGAGAAAGACGGGGGAGCACAATGCTAACTAATATATAATATATGTAGTATATATATATATATATTATATTATAAATAATATATAATATAGTATATTATATATATATTATAATATATAGTATATAATATATATATATATGATATATATAATATAAAATATATGATATAAGATATACTACATACATATATATATATAATATATGTAATATATATATATATACCATATATAATATATACAATATATATATAATATGTAAATATAGTATGTATAATATATATTATAGATTATATATATATATATTATAATATATATATAAAATGATATAATATGATATAATATAATATAATATAATATATAATAATATATGTAATATATAATATGTATATATAATATGTAATATATATATATTTATATTTATTACATACTTTATATAATATACAATATATGTAGTATATATATTATATTATATAAATTTATTTTATATATTATATATTATATATTATATATCATATAATAATAATAACATTCATAATATATATATATATATATATTTAATAATGGTATATATATGTGTATTATATATATAGTATATATTATATATATAATATACATTATATAATGTATTTATATTTTTTTTATATATAATAATATATATAATATTATGTATATATATATATATATATATTATTATATATATTATAATACAAATACATTATATAATGTATATATTATATATATATTATTTGTGTATAATATTTTATTTATTATATATTCTATTTATGATATATAATACAATTTAGTATAATATAGTATAATATAATATGTAATAAAATAAAAAGACTGTATATTTAGATATACACATATGATAACGTACATGGATCCGACTGGCTCTCCGTTGCACGGCGAGGAGTCCTGTATTCTGGTCGCTCCAGAAAGGCCAACAAATTTGCTGGGTATATAGATACAATATGTGTATATATCTACTAATAGCTATTGAAAATGACCATTGAAATAGTGGATTTTCCCATTGAAAATTGTGATTTTCCATAGTTTTTTGTATGTTTACCAGAGGGTAATACTATGTATTTGTATAATATATATAATAATGGATATATCTGTATATATCTCTATATATCTGTAGAATGCTATGTATA